GTATTATGCAAATCAGTTTCGTCCTTTAGTCTGTCTGTCTGTCCGTTGACCATCCGTCTCTCCATAACCACCTGAGCCGATAGGTGTAAATTCACCTTACACGGTACTTTGGTTGGCCAAGCGATAGCCTGCTTTGATGTGAGTATTCCTCAACATGCAAATATATATATATATATATATATATATATATATATATATATATATATATATATATATATATATATATATATATATATATATATATATATATATATATATATATATATATATGTACATACTAACATTTCAGCAATTATGAAATATTTATAAATATGAAATAATTCTCAATAAATAATTGCATTTAATGTAAAAATGGATTAAAATGTTATTGGTTAGTGAAAGTCTTTTAGAACGTTATGATAGTTGTTACCGTTGTTTAACTTTGTGTATTGCCAAAATTCAGTTTTAAACTCTGCTCGCCATGTATAGTGCATAACCTTATTAATAGTAGAGACATCTATTCTCCGTCAGTCGACAACGGAAATATCTTCAGCAATTTCTTGCTAAAAATAACTAACTAAGAATGAAAGGGAAATCACATTCATATTTTCAAAATATAAAAAAACAAAAACGCTCCTCATCAACCCTTTTTAAATGAATCTGTAGTGAGTACTTCAAACTTAGCATAAGGTAATTATAAGAATCATTTCTGCAATATAGTTTCGAAAACTCCAACAGCACAACGTTGTAAATGGGTAAACAAAATCAATATTAACTGTATTATTTTCAACGGAAAGGAAAATAAGTATATTTGTAGTTAGTGCTTTCAAGCAAAACTATTGGGTAAATTTCTTTACATTATTTGATCTGAACCGGCTATGCAGCCGCAATTGAACTTGTGTATTATATTATCTATTTAGCTTTGGCTCCGATATATATTTCTTTTATTAGAAATAGCTTCAATACTTTAAGCTGCTGCACCTGTACAGTCTACGCAACGACTGAATTGATATCATGGATTGAATCATTTTGTGCCTAGAAAGGACAAAACTTAATGAACATAATTAAGTAGAGACTTTAAAGTAAGGTTGAAACCAAATCAGAGTGCTAGCAAATTGGATGAGATAGACTTAAAATTTACATTACCACTAATTCAGTGAATTAATGCGTTTGAAGTGGAGCCTTTTGCAAAATGTGCAAACAACACTTAAAGAAATATCTCTGAGAAAATCTGCGCACTGATATGCGAGTTGAGAGCATCAACTTGATCAATCAGAGTCTTTTAGCTACGTTGCGAAGTGATCCTATCGCCCCCATTGTCCGATACAGTATCTGCCAAAATTAAGAATAAAATATCTTTCTAAAAACGAACGTGTATCAAAAATGAGAAACTCATAGTGTGCGAGTTGTAAAATAACATGATTGAAACTAAACAAAACGTGAGTTATCCCTTTCATACATGACTTTAGATGTTGATGGATACATTGTTTTTAAATTAGTCATACTATATAATTTGTAAATTCTGAACAATATCACTTTCATATACGCTGTAATTTATAAGAAAATATATAACTCTTCATGTTAATGTCAAATTGATACAGTTGTATCGCCAGTAAGTCAACATCACATCTGAATTCATAGGATTGCCACTCAGTCGATTTTGCAACTATATTAAAAACTTCTCGACCATCAGAAATTACACCCACCTACCGCAATAATTTTAACATACTTGAGAAATAAACATGAGCTTGCTAGATGAAGTTAAATTAATATTCCACGCTTCGAAATCTATGTATTTACTATTTTCTCTTAAGCGCAAACAAACGTAAAATTTGACTTTCATCTCACCTCTAAAAGTTAGAGAAGAGCTATTTCACCACTGTCGACATTGCAGTCCGCTATTGTAGAAGCATACTCATATGTGCGGACTCCCTGTATAGTATTCATTATTTCTTCAAGTTCCTCGGACAACAGCATGGAGTTGATTCCATAGAATCTATAAGTGGCGATGTTGCAAGGATGGTTTATTGGTTACATTAAAATATACATTAGCTTTACATACTTTGCTAAGTATTATTATATGTGGATGTGGTTCCTTGCGCCATGTATACATGATGTTTATACCAGTAATCTTGGAGCTGTATGAGGACATGCACCTAATCACAAAAGTAAGTCCCAGTGACCAATATTTCACTGATCACTGACTTCTGTGAGCTTTTGTGTTTTACGTTTATTTCGAAACCGTTGATTCGAGAAAGCAAATAAATAATAACAACAGCCACAAAATCAAAACGAAAGTGGCCAGCACTAAAAATCGACTGAAAAGTCAGTCGATTTCTCCAATTTATTTTTTTCCGCTACACAAATCTCTTAATATATTTGCATTGCAACATACAAGCATTCTTGCCTTAATATTATTTCTTAAGCAAATATTCTACATCGTGAATCATTAAAAACCCACGTGACGCATTTAAGATTGTAATAACATTCCACTAAGAGACTAATTTTAAAAAGGCCTATCTTGACTTGCTATCTTCAAATCTTCCCACATGAGGTAGTTTCAGGAAACTGTCTCTGAAATAATACTGTGAAATAGCGTACCCAGCATCTTTCAAGTGAGTGGAAAAGATTTCTATTTGTTATTCATTTTTGCTACACGCATGCGTAGAGATTGCTAGAAAAATAATCTTCCCACAGATCAAAAAGATTTGCGATGTTTGAATGATCTCGTGTAGGCGTGTTACTTAAAATTATCGGTGAAGACTGAAGTACACAATGTGTGTATACGACTTGGTTTCAGTGGAAATAACAGTACATAATTATACGATCTAAACTTGATGTTTTGCAATAGAACTTTTACATTCTCTGAGGCTACAAAAGGGGAAATGGTGATAAAGCAGACATGATATAATCCAATTACAAATATTTGAAAAAATGTAAAACAACACATATATTGAGGTAACTGAATGTATAATTGTTACCTGATAGTTAAAACTTTAAAAAACCCTTATCAAAATTTGATCGATGCATATTTGCGCAAGAGAATGATTATTGAAAGTATATACTAAAGCATCTGTATACTACATAATTCCCCAGAATGAAAAGAATGTGTAACACAGCTTCCCGTTACATGTGCAATGACTGTATCGGGTAATGTGTTGGTGCAGCCGTTGTAGCATTTACTGTGTATGTAAAGCAATTAAGGAGATTGCTTTAGACCATTGATATTTAAGCCAAACTCCAGATTCCATATTTAACAAGAGATGTCCTTTGCCATATAGATAAAAAAATGTACCTAATTCCTTTTATGTAAAGGATTAAATGAAAATGAAAATGAATGGCGCTGTAGTATGCGTGGAAATAATACGTAATGCCCTGCAACCGTGCGACAGTCAAAAGCAGATTCATGCCACGTCATCAGAGTCACACTTACACTCCTGGGTTGTTAGCTGTAAAAATTAAAACCGAAGTATTTTGCACGAACATGATTAATCTGTCAAAATACTGGGTCCATTCTATCAATATGTTATCAACAAAACCTATTTGTTAATTAGATTTCATTTACTTGTAATTAATGTTCTTTAAATTCAGAAAAATCGTTGATATATATATATATATATATATATATATATATATATATATATATATATATATATATATATATATATATATATATATATATATATATATATATATTATACGAGACTGTGGTAATCATAATCTTCCAAGCTTTCTGCTATATTAACTAAGCAGTTTTGAAAAGTTTTATTCTGCTAAAAATGCATGGAATTTCGTCATCCATCCATCCATCCATACTTACATCCATCCATCCATCCATCCATCCATCCATCCATCCATCCATCCATCATCCATACATACATACATACATACATACATACATACATACATACATACATACATACATACATACATACATACATACATACATACATACATACATACATACATACATACATACATACATACATACATACATACATACATACATACATACATATTTTGTTGAAATATACAAGGTTTGCTTTTCGTTCAGGCCAAGGAATTAGGGAAAGAGAAGTTGTTTGAAACAGTCCATGCACTGGTTAATGATGTTATAGACGTACATGCAGATTCATCACAACCTGAGGTATCCAGGGTAGCTGAAACGAATTTCGTTAGAATGGTCAACTGAACCAGGTCCTTCATCAGACCTGAAGAACCCGATTATCTTACTTTTCTTTTTTCTGTATACAATCTGTGATTACATTGTATTTTTTGTCATTTTTCTTTTTTCATTTGCTGTTATTGTTCTGATCTTATTAAAGCAATTAAATATTATATTAAATTATATATATATATATATATATATATATATATATATATATATATATATATATATATATATATATATATATATATATATATATATATATATATATATAGAATCTGCCTAGTATTATCAACCATTATTTTGTAGCACTCTCTGTTCTGTTTTGTGAATCTTTATAATTCTCTGTCTGCTCGACTAGGGATTGCAGAACTCGACCGCCTATTGATTTTATGTCGTCTTTGGCAGGAAGCGGAGCCTGATCTTTACCACTAACAAGCATCTGGAGTATACTCGGAATGGCCAAAACCTGGTATATTGGTGGCACAATCAACATAGTAAAGAAGCCTTTTTCTCAACTGCTATGAATACATGGATGTTTCAGATCAGGTGATGACCTTAAACAGATACCGTTGTGTTTTTGCATCATGTCTGGAAAGATATGATGTGATTATGATTTTTAACGAAGCCTAACAATTTTTGCAGTCATATCGCTACGATGCTTGCAGTGTGGCAGTTTTTAGTGATGTCTAGCACTGTAGCACTGGGGCATCATGCCGCAGATATTTAGTTAGCATGCTGTCCCACCCAGTCACATTATCCAGACACTAGACCGACCAGTCCTAACACTAACCTCTTAATGCTGAGCGCCAAGCGAGGAAGCTGTTACTCCCATATTTGTAAGTCTTTGGTATGACTCAACCGGGGATCGAACTCACGACCTTTCGCATTCTTGACGGACGCTCTAACCACTAGGCAACTGGATCGGTTTGTCTGGAAAGAAGAAGAGACATTATAAAACGGTCTCTGTGTGTGTGTGTGTGTGTGTGCACGCGCGCGCGCTGAGGACGAGAGAAAATTTTGAAAATTACTTTTATAACATAATGTGTAAAATAATGAACATAATTTTAGCACATGAAAGAAATTTTCAATGTATTTAGCCTAATGTATACACGTCCAGAACTAAATGCGATTATGAGAGAATCAACAATTAAAATAATTATTGTGTCTTTAACATGCGATTCTATATAGGCAATTATTATTGCATTATTCGTGCAATATACTGGAATACTTTGAAAACATACGAATAAATAAAAGACATTATACTCAACTAAATAATCATTATGTCTTTGTATAGTTTTTCAGTCAATCAAAGACCTAAGCCTGAAACGAAAGTCAAGTCTTTTGTTGTTGACTTCGAAAAGGGACTTTGACAAGGGCTCAAGGCAGCTTTTGGAACTCCGCAAATACATAGCTGTGCATTTTATTTTAGACTGGCCTTTTGGAAAAAAGGTCCAGGAATTGGGATTACAAACAATTTTCAGTCCAATCCATTCGGCTGCGATGTTAACATTCATTGGTCTAGTTCTGATTTCTTTAGACTTTGGATAGCTAGTTGAAAATAATTTTCGAAATGCTGAAAATCACTTAAAAATGGTACATGTTTGGGACGCTCAGTATCATGATAAAGTAAAAAAAAATATTCTCTTAGGAAAATGAATAACTCTTTCTATTGATAACGTGGCAAAAATGTTACCTCCGTTCAACCCTAATTTATTTTAATGTTCATCACTAATAATTGTGTTTTCTTTACCAATTTTAGCAGGTCTGTAAGGAACACGAAAGTATGAATACACTGCTACGAAAGATTTGTGTGCTCTTTTTTATTACAATCAGACGACATACCAAAGTCATCTGCAGTGTTACAAAGAAGAATTGATCCAGAGGCAATGAATGTGCTGTCATTCCTAAGATATGTAGAAGATAACTGTATTCGCAACGACATATTGACTGTTGCCTGCTGGTTAGTTTATCGGAGAAGCATCCAAACCAATAATGATGTGGACGGGTGACATAATCGTCTAAACAGGAAAAAGGGAAATTCGCTCCTCTATATCCTCTTAACTCTACTTTATAAGGAAGCCAGAGAAACTGGATCTGTAGTTCGTCTGTTGCACGAGAAGAAGATAAGACGACATTAAAATAAATAGGCAACGAACGTTCAAGGTCGCTTTATCAAGTTATGAAAAAAAGTATGGAAACCACCACATGAGCACGAACACCTTGCTTAAATGTTGTGCTAGATTGTCTGGCACATGTTAGACCCAGCCACAGTAAAGCGGGACTGGATACTGTTTTCAAAATTGTACATTTTTCATCTTCACATGCCTAGTGCGTTGTCCATTGATAAGTATCTTAACACAAGTGTATGCCATATGTTAAAATAAACAATTATGCATTTGAACTATTGTGGACCTATTTTAAACAGTAATATCAGAATTGTAAATCAGACAAAACAAAAAATGTGAACTCCTTATTGCAAATGACCATCACCGAAATGTAAAATTATCAAATTCCAACAAATAGTGCTGCAGTAGATAATATTTATATTTGTATTTCACGTTCGTATAGTAGTAGCTGAAGTTTTACTTCAATAAATATTGAAAATGTTTAATCGCCTAGAGAACATATTCAGCTAAAACAAAATTGTAATGGAGCAATTTTGTAGTCGATCTCTGTAGGAAATCTTTAGTTGGACACGTATACGATTAATTAGCTTTATGGAGACCTACGAGTGATTAAGTCGCCATAATGCACGGATTAGTAAGGCTCTATCATGAGTTAGCGATTTTTAATTAAGGACTAAGTTTGTTTAAACTGAGCAAGTCTTGTGTTAATTTTAGAACTGTAGCGGAGTTGTCAAATTGGAATTATTGCAGAGAGCAGTAGTCGAATAGCTAGTTGTCAGACGAGCTGCACTGTTTGAACCCAGTTCAAGCGGAAATTATATTTCATCCAGATTGTGAATGGGGCGTGGTTTCACATGAAAACTCTGTTTAAATTTACTAAAAGCGAATTTAAATATTAGTCTACGCTTTTCTACCAGAGAAAACGAATGTAAGAACTTAAAGGTCTCTGAGTAATTTAAGAAGTAAATTCACTCGTAAAATCATCCAGGGGAGACGATTGTCTAGAGAAATTAACAAACACAAAGGCTTGAAAGCAAAAATATTTTGAATCAGTTTTGTGTAATTCATTGATACTAATATTATGATATGCTTGCTTTTATTTGCTTGTATTTGCATGTATTTATTTGTTTTAATTCGTAGATCATCCAGGGGAGACGATTGTCTAGAGAAATTAACAAACACAAAGGTTTGAAAGCAAAAATATTTTGAATCAGTTTTGTGTAATTCATTGATACTAATATTATGATATGCTTGCTTTTTTTTGCTTGTATTTGCATGTATTTATTTGTTTTAATTCGTAGATCATCCAGGGGAGACGATTGTCTAGAGAAATTAACAAACACAAAGGTTTGAAAGCAAAAATATTTTGAATCAGTTTTGTGTAATTCATTGATACTAATATTATGATATGCTTGCTTTTTGCTTGTATTTGCATGTATTTATTTGTTTTAATTCGTAGATCAATCCTCCTGATATGGTATAAATGTGTTGAGTTCGTTCATCTGAGTCCAGACAATGACGTTTTTCTTTTTATATACATTGACGGCTCGCTTAAGGTATAGTCTTGACTATTCTAGGGAAGTTATGTATCTAGAATATCAGACCTTATTTTATATAGGAAATGATGTATCTAAAACATCATGCCTTATTTATATATAGGGTTATGTATCTAGAATTTTATGTCTTATTTTAGTTTAAATTATAAAAATCTATTTGTATTCTCTAATATGAGTTTATGTAGGATATGTACTTTCTTGTTGTTGTAAATACCGTAGCCTGCACAAGGAAGTCAAAAGGAACCGTCGCTGTTTAATTGGAATAAGTCAATACATCAGGTTATGAATCGGTACAAGGCAGTTTTATTCAACCTTTCAATTATATCGTGTAAAAGATCGGCTATTGATATAATCATAATTGTATTTTAAATTCTTTGCATTTTATTGTTGTGAATTTTGATTAAATTCTGTCATTTTATGCGACGGGACTTTATATTATTATGTTCTATATATCTGCTCAGATCTTTATTTATTCCACCCATAAGTCTCATACTTTATATTGACATTTACTCGCACAGGGCAAATTACACCGTCAAGGATCACCTCTAGATAACAATAACCAAAGCCAGGTAACCCACCACAACAAAGCTGCTGACAGAAATACACTCCAAAAGATACCGATGTGTTTAGTATGCAGTTTTATTTTTATTATTTTAGCAGCTTTCTATGCTTCTTAGAGGAAAACGAATTTGAAAAAAAAAAAGAAAATCATAGTCACTGTTCAGAACTATACTGTTGAACAACATATTTTGATATATGTTGATTTAGACATGCAAATACATGCTTAATATTTCGAAAATAAATATCTGAAACCAATTTTTATATCTCTTTTTTGTTAATTATAATTTTCATTCCTCGCCTCTCATTCATCTTAATGACTAAAAGTAAAGAGTCACTCGAGCGTATATAAGATCGAGACGACGAAACACTATTTTGGAGATAACTAAAACTAAAATTTAAATTTTCAAACTTAAAATGAATGCAATCTGAGGTTAAGTGTTTCCTATGGAGCAATAATGTACACCTATATTCTAGTCACATTCATTTTTTAAATATTGTTTTCAATTTTCCTTCCTTTTGTTCTTCAAATGATCGACACAGGATCCTTGTCGCTTACTATTGTGCAAAATAAATACTTGGTAACTGCCATCAATTGTATCCGTGTTTTGTTAATATGTGAATCTTTACTCATCCCAATTTTATAGGTTTCATGCAAGGAATAAATCCAACTCCTCCAGATATCCGATCTTGATATTGACTGTTAGAATTACAAAGTCCCCTTCTAACCCCCAGTGGCCGAGTGGTTTAAAGCGCTGTCCATTACGGATCACTGCCATCTCACCTCTATCTGCGTGTTCGAGTCTAGGATTCGGATAATGTCGATATGTGAGAAAGCTTGCCAGTAGCTTCTCGTGGGTCGGTGGTTCTTTCCGGTGATTTCCAGGTTTCTTCCTCCACCATTAATACTGGCCGCCATGAATAGGCTATTGTATGCTGAAAAATGGCGTTAAGCCCAACAACAACTGTTAGAATTATAAAGTCCCCTTCTAACTACATTTTACAATTATCGATCAGACAATTTTCACCATTTTCGATCAAAAAATCTACAAAACATGACACAATTTGTAAATATTTGCAGTAATCAATTCATTATCGCGACAATCATCTTGTTTGAGGAAACTGGCGGACGTAAATTGTGCACAGAGATGTGTCTAATTCACACGAGCTGATTGGGCAAACGAACAGTGATTGATAAGTGGCGATAGGTTAATTTCCTATAAACAATAAAAAGGTGTTTTCGTGAGTTAGCGTGAGAGAAAATTCAAGTACTACATTATAGAAAATAATTATCATTGTAAAAGATAGCCTAATTCTCTAATCAGTCTTATTACATAAATGAAGACAAATGGAAAATCTTGTTTGATAAAACGGCAGGCTGAATGTAAATAAAATGGAGAAGGAGAGAGAGAGAGAGAGAAATGGGATTATGGGGTATGAAATAAAATCTTAATGGTAAAGTAAAATGAGAAAATTGGTGTAATGCTGACGAAGTTCTATTATTGGCCGATATTTCCATTGACGTGGGGAGAAATGTCCTGGGCCAAAACGTCCATGGGGCGAAAAGTCCATGTACCATGTAAGACGATATGTGCATTGATGTGGGGCGAAATGTGTATTGAAGTGGAACAAAATGTTCTGGGCCGAAACGTCCATGGGGCGAAACGCCCATAATCCAATTGT